TTTTACCTCTTTCTCTTTCTGAACACTTTCAGGCACCAAAACTCATTCCACTTCAAGATCTCATTGAATTTGAACAACGCCACCAGCATCATACTGTGCCCAGTACTTGCCTTGGACAAGCTCAAACTGAACCTACCCAGTTACTAAAAATTGATGTTGAACCATTTGAACTAAGAGATGTGCAGAATAATAGAAAAAGGCAAGACAAACTTTTAAAGTGGGTCTTCATTTTGAAAGACTTACTGGTAACCTATACTTTCTAGCTTTGAAGTCAGTGGGAGTTTCTACAGCAGCTTCAAATAAAGTGGGATTGGATGCAATTCTCTTGGAAGAAAATAAAACAGCAAATATTAGTAAAGACAAATCAAAAGTATGTCAGTAGGGTATGAAGGGATTGTTGCTGTTACCAGGCTGATAGGAAGATGATTAAAGGGGAAATGTTTTTCATACCAGTATCTGTAGTTTAAAGTCTTACAGCTGTTTGCTATATACTGTTTATGAAATGCTTTGCTGCTTACACAATTAGTATATTGTCACTGTTAGCAGTAATTTTCAAGAAGGAAAGGGTTACAGTCTTTCAATGTAATTCAAGATACAGGCTCTGTTTCTGAATCCAGACAGTGATTAGCAAAATTACTGCTGAAGGGATATTTTATTTTATTTTGCTAGGTATGTTATTCATTATTTTTGAAATTTGACTTACTCTTTTTGTAAATTGAACTGGGCAAGCAGTTGAAACAGTTTAAGCTGCATGCATGTCTTTGTTCAGTTCCGTTGTAATGTTGATAGATTCCTAATGTTTCACAAATCTGTGTTTTCCATGGAAGAGTTAATGGAATCATTGCTTCTAGAGCAGAATACTTCTGATTATGATGCTTTTAACTCTGGCAGTTGAAAACACAGGTGCTAAGATGAGTTTTTCACTCCTAAGGTGAAAAACAACTGATACCAAGTAATTTCAGCTGGAGTTTAGAATACTTGTTTTGATATATCAGCTGAAATACAGTTGTCTTATAATTACTTATCAGATATTAAAGAAAATTTGCAACTTTTTAAGTAAAATAGTTAATTGGGAAGCTTCAGTGATAACAGAGGTTTGTTTCTTGCTGGACTATTTCTTAATAGATTCCTTACAGGCATTTTTTGTGTGGTAATGATTATTTTATTATGCACAAAATATGGATATGGAATGTTATGCAGTTTGACATATTTTGTATATATATAACTTATTTGACAATTACCAAATTTTGGTGTGATTGTTAAGTATTTTTATGAGTTCCTAGAACAGTTTTATGTAGATTTACAGTAGGCAAAAGTAGTGCATCAAACTGACCTATATGCAACAGTTGTGTTTGTCTTTTTCATCTTTATTTCAGTCTATATTTCTTAATAATAATATTTCTTAGAAAACAATGTTCTGTATTTTTATTATTTCAGTGCGGTTCTTATTTTCTATTTGTAACTGTTATGTTGACAGTCAAAAGAGGCGTGATAAGGAACAAATGAAAGAAAAGGAGGAAAAGAAGAAACCAAGTGTGTCCTTCTGCCCTGATGACTCCATCATCAGTATTAGTGATACAGTGAAGGTTGTTGAATCTGGGACTAAGGTATAGAAAAAAATTTTTTTTTTTCTTTTCCTTTTTCCATTTGAGTGTTAACAGGAAGGAAGGAAGCAGTGTAAACCAGAACAAACATGTAAATCTTTTCCAGGCTCTAGCCCCAAAACAGTATACATCTTTCATTCATATGCTTGCATTTGTTTTTATAAAGTATTCCAAGGTTGCTTTTATTTTTCCTGGGACATGAACTTGTCTATTTTGATAGGATATTTGTGTCTATGTACATTTAAAATAAGTATATGCACAAATGCTAATTGCTTTAAAAAAGTAAATAAATATGTTTAGCATAGCAGAAATGCTAGGACAAATGATCCAGGCATTACTCTTTTCACGTGAGCTAGATGATGGCAATATGATGAGGATGGAGAGGATGAGGTCTCAGTTCTGTCTCAGCCAAGCAACTGAGAAGATAAAGTCTTTGTAAAGCTGGATTTTGATTTATGCACTTCTACTGTTTGGTTGCCTAGGCGTTTTTGATATCTTTTAATGTACTTTGGGGTTATCCTTGCAAGTACCAGATTTCAACTAGAACACTACCAGATTTAAATCTAGATCACTGCCCAGAGCAGCAGGCTTATTTCTGGTCCCTACTGTACCTTCTTTGAGACTTCCCTGTCCAGCACAGCAGCTGTAGAGCCTCACTAGACATGGGAGATAGCACATACTTGAAGTAGAATGAGAAATTTGTGTTACTGCAGATGACCCCAGGGTACTTACGGGAAAAAATGTTACGTAGTCAATAATTCCACTAAGTTGGAATGAATCTGAAGAATTAAAAAAGCGGATAAGAAAAGTATATTACAATGATTTTTAGTTTCTTTTCCAAATCATTACTGAAAGGAGGTGTATTGGAAAGTTAACGGTATGAAGAAAGCCTTTAATTGGCATTGGAGCTATTTTTTAAGATAATCCTTTTTTCCTTATATTAGGATCAACAAGCAAAATCTACATCTTGCCTTCAGGATGGTTATTTCATTTCAGTGGGCAAGTACAAGTCTTTTTAATGCTTTGAGTGCTTAAATAAAATAAATCAAGGAACAGAAGTTTGTTAGATTTCAAAGGAAAGCTACATACTTATCAAGATATTAAAAACTCAGATTGTGTAGTGTGTGGGCAATACAGCAAACGGCTTATGGGATCTTTCACCAGAAAATTAGGAAAACCTTTCAGGATATACAACAGATACTGTCTTTTGGGGGGATAGTGGGTTTTTAGGTGATTGGTGTGGAGAGAGATGCAGGCAAATTTAAGATCTCATATCCATTATCTGTGAACTCAGAATAATTTTCCTGAAAATTATGGAAGTATTGTAAGTTTTTTTAAAAAATAAGTTATAATCTTGTGGTTATGTTTGTAAACAATGGACTTCACTAAGTAACAACAGTATGTTGAGTGAATTTCAGTAACTGTGGTTCACAGTGATTTCTGTTTATGTGATTCATCAGAAGAATGTTGTAAACAATGCTTTCAAATTCTAGATCAGCTGATTTGTTTTTAAAAGATATTATTCCAATTTTGTTTGCCTGCATATTCTAATTAAGGCTCTTTTAAAAGAAACTGCTTGTTTACAATATTTCTAGCTTGCAAAATTAAGACCGTGCCTATAGAAAGATTTGCTTCTTTCTAGTACATTAATTGAGCACAATATTTAGTCCTATCAGAGGACAAAATACAATCCATTCTCTGAAATTTTGGCCTTTAGAGAGGTACAGGCTTCCAAAGCTCTTTAGAAACATCAATAAAGACATAAAGGTATATGTGTCATCAATATTTTTCCCCTTTAAAAATATGAAGCAAATTGTTACTATACAGCTTACTAAAATATTTAATTTAAAAGTTATACATCCATTTTAATTCATTGTAACACTGTAAGTTTCAATACAGGTGCATGTTTACATAAGGCAGGTAGTACAAACTTTTCTTGAAATCATTCATGAAGTATGCTTACAGAAAGGTTAAAATTACCTGTCAGAAATGCAAAGAAAAATCTGTTGCAGCACTTAGATTTGAGTTAATATCATAGATTTCTAATTCTTGCATTATTTGTAGACACTTGTTGTGTATTATCACATTTTAGACACAAGGGGGGAAGCAGTTACTACTTCAGCAGATCTACGTTACATTGCCTCTACAGGAAAAAAACCAGCACAAACTCAAGATGCAAGTACGAATACTCACCCAGGTAAGTGCTACCTGTTTGACCTACATCAGCCACCTATTTCTGGTTTTGCTTCTTGTTAATTGTGAGATTTGGTCAGTTTCCAAAATGAACGAAGTTTTTTAAAGGGAAACACAGCTTTTCGTGCTGTAACTTTTGGTTTCAAAAAGTATTGAATCAGAAGATACTGGAATATAAGTTACAAAAATATTAGTTAAAATAGTTACAAATAAAAATATTAGTGATGCAGTTATGTAAGAGTTCTCACATGCTTTCTGTAAGTCAGTTCTGCTGTGACTTTTTCTGAAAGCTCCTTTTAACTTGCCTTGTTTTGCATGTGACTGAAATGGTCTCCCTGCCTCTTCCCCCCCTAGCTTTGTTTTGATTGTGAGCTGGGAAATCAGAAACGTACATTTCAGATAATGGCATCAGTGTCTTTACTTTCCCTAAATTAATGCATTTTGGTTTTGGGTTTTTTTTCCTATCAAGTGCTCAAGTCATATCAGGATGTTGGAATCAGTGCTGGAAATGAGGTTTCTGAAGTTCAAAAAAATGAGTCAGTCATGTCTGTTCCTGTGTCAGGTGGGGCTTTAGTCTTTCTCTACCTCATTTGTTGTTTGGGAAGTCTATAAAAATACTACAATTTTAACATGGTTTTTGTACATGAGGTAGCTTAATGCAGGATATAGATAAGAAGATGCCAGTTTATCTGGTTTCTTAAAACCAAATGTGAAGTAATCATAATACCGTTTATAAAAAGTTTGGCTGGAATTTTTTATGGTGCAGTGTACCTATGCTTTTGAGTTGCTGTATGAGGAGGTGCGTTTGTGGATTTTAGCTTGATTGTTAGGGCTTCTGGGGAGTTGGTGTTATGTAGACCAAATGGATTGACCAGTGAGATGGTAAGCTCCATGTGAAATCAAGCTGTAATAGCTCAGCTAATTATACAGTTGTTCCATGTATCTGCTAAGTTATGTAATGGCTACATGCCAATAACAGTGCTCAAGTCTGAAGTGGCAATTTTATTCCCACTTTATTCTTTTGGGTCAGTTTGTAGAACAAAAAATAGAATGTAACTTTGATTTTGGGCTAAAGTTTGGGTTTTCTACCCCCTTGATAAATTGTACTACGTAGAATTCAGTTCCTAAGTATTTTTCTTATGGTACCAAGTAAACATGTTAATTTTTCCTTTCATTTAAAATCCAACAGTGTTGTTCCATTTGGGAGATTATTTACCACATCACGTGACTCCTTTGTAGGTAGAGGTAGTTTATTAAGAGTTATTTCTGGCTGAGTGGTATAATTTATTTAGATCAAGTAAAGATGCAGATTTATTTTTTTTTTTAACCTATTCAGGAGGGAGTTGGAAATGAATAGCAATTTAGACTGTGGCATGATGCTCTGATTGTACTCTTTTCTAATTTGTTGTTAGAAGCAAGCATTAAAGAAACCTATTAAGCTACACTGTCTGTTTATTTTTTAAAAGAAATGCTAATCAAAGCTTTTCTTACCATTTAGAGAATTCAGACCTGTTTCCAAATAGTTTGTCTGAAGTTTCGTGGCTTTTATTGTAAATATAATGCTGACTATTGTTCTTTTCTCATAGAATCATCTAGTGCCACTGAGATACTACCCCCAGACATGTATTTAAACCTGAGATTCCCCACTGAAGTGAATGAGACACCTTTGCCATCCTTTCTGTCAGATGCACCTGATTTGGTTAGTGGCCCGATGTACATACAGTTAAAATATATATTAACTGTACTAGTTGTTTTACCTTATGAATTTGGGTTCTTTATATCTGGATGAGTCAGCTGTATAATACTATAGGGAAGATTGTAATTATTTTGTCTCCAAAACAAAAAGCCTTTCAACTCAAAGTTGTAAGAGGTAAACACAGGAAATGGTTAATAACATACTATAAATGACATATGCAGTTTGCATACCGTATAATTCTTCATAATATTGTTCCTGTTTAGGGTGAACATGAATATATCAGTGTGGTTGACATTGAAGACAGTGACATACTTAACACTTTGCCCATGATACCTGAGTCTGCAGAAGAGATAGCTACTGCACAGCAAAATGAGAAGTTTGAAATTCCATCTACTGCAAAACTTCATCACATGGCAGCTACTGTTACTAATGCAATTCCACCCAAGGCGCTTCAGAAGAAAGGTAAACCATTTTGGTTTTAAATCAGAAAAAAAAGTATACACTTTTGTTGTAGTACTCTTACCTCCCACAGGAAACCTGCAGCCTTTCCCCAACTCACCTCCTACTTTCTCATGTCAAAACATTTATACATTTGACTTCTTTTCTGATGATACCTGCCTCCTAAAACATGCTATTAGGTATAGCACGGCTATGCCTAATTACTTGCGGTACTTAAATGTTTGCAGTTTATTCAGTGCTGTTGTTGCACTCTTCTTTTTTTATTTCAAGATGATCTGAAAGATGTATCAGGCCAAGTGCAAGAAGAGGAAGATAAGAAGTCAGATTCTGCTGGAGATAGTGTGACTTGGAACATACTGCATGAAGGTGACAGAACTTTTCCTTCTTCAGGGCTTCCATCCAAAGTAATTGGCAAAGAATACTTTTCCATAAAGCAGCAGGAAATGGATATGCAATTACAGACACTACAGAACATAACAGAAAATATGGAGAAGGATTTCAGAAATACCAGACTGGTAAGTTTTACTGCTAACTGTTGTCTGAAACAGTTTATTTTGCAACTTCTTTCAGCAGAAGACAAAATTTACATTTTCAAATTATGTATTTTCAGATCTGTTTAGTATATGTTGAGAGAGATCTAGAATAATTTGTAGTTCTTTCACATTTAGTGCTGCATCTGTTGGCTGACATAGTTACTTGCAATGGACCAAATGCTGGCCAGAATGGCAATGTTCTTAGTGAATGGGCAGGACATACTTAATTTTTCTGTAACTGGTAAAATGGAATAACGCAAAATTTCAGGCTGAGCAGGAGACCTTTTTGGCAAAGATTTCTGCAGTTGTCCCTCTGCAGAATATTATGTCACTATTTCTGGACCCTATTCCTATTTATTTCATAAAATATTTGCATTTTTAATGTCTTTATAAATCTAAATATTGAAGTAAATGCATTTTGGACATAGTCCATTCAGATGATCTTATATATAATTCAGGAATTACGATTTTATAGGTCATGATGAGATAACAATAAAAAGTTAAAAATTTTTAATGAACTGACCTTTTAATATTCTGTCTAGTTTAATTTGCTTAAAACTCCACATGTGGCTGACTTTAGGTGTATGTGAAATGGGGAATGCTGACAGTTATTTCTTCAAATTAATTCAGTAGCACTGTGTAATTCCACAGCATCTTTTTGTATAATCAGTCTGATAGTGTCCATTGACTGTCCTTCCATATATTCACAGAAGTGTAAGGACCCATTGTGTCATCTACACACAGCTACTACACTAAGGTGGATTATTTAATCACTTAAATCCTTCATTAAGGTGGTTATCTAGCCAGATTTTTAAAAGCCTGCAGTGCAAAAACATCACATATCCTTTCTTTCTTTCAGTGTTTTCGCTGCATTTGGGTTTTTCAACTTCTTCTGGATGTCTGCTTCAGTCCTGAAGATAAACTCATTTTCTTTTTTGCTTTTATTTTGGTGCACACCAGTTGGCCGTTCCTTTTGTAACAATTTCTAACGTATTAGAAATCAGTTTTGAGGCCTGTTCTTTGTGAGAATAATGTTCAGTAAAAGTCTCAATCTGGGTCAGTTTTAGTTTTCACTTTCTAGTTTTAAACTTCAGGAAACTCCTGACTTACCAAGAATATGGAAACATTCTTATTGCTCTGTTTTTTAGTTAAGATACATTGGAAAACTAGAGCTATTTTTAAAATAAAAATAATGTGTTTAATAGGAGTAAAACTGTTCACAAGAATAATATATTTCTTTTTTTTTTTTTCTCAGAGTAAGGATCCAGGAGATTGTACTTTTAGGTGAAATTAATCTACTTGAGCTACTTTGATTCCAGAACTATTTTCTTTGTTTTGAGTCAGGGTACTCCATTAAAATGCTTATAAAATTCTGAGGGAAAAAAAGTATATAAAGCAAACTTTGTATGAATATCTGAAGTCTAAGTCTCAGAAATACTTTGAAGAATGTGTCATTATTTAGTTTCTGGGTTTCATTTGTAGCTAGTGAAAATAATAGAAGATTTTGAAATGGCTGCCAATTCAGACCTTGGTGTTCGTCCGTCATTCTCTGAAGATGCTGGAATCATTGATGATGGTATGTTTTCAGTTAACAGAAGGATAGTAAACTTGCAATTGAATAGTGAACTTGGCTGACTTTTAATTAGCATTGAAGTTTAATGCAACCCCAAAAGGTGTTACTGAAATATGCACCAAAAATCAAAAATATGAGAGAGAGAAACAAAATCAAAGGTAGAAAATCTGAATATTATGGGTACTGCTTCAGCAAAAATGCATTTGAAAATATCTGTATACTTTGATTTTTCCAAAACCATAATGCAGGTGTTGGGTGTAGGCTTTCAAAGGTGATAGTATATATTTCTGTTATGAAATATCAATATTATTTATAAATTTATAGCAATAAAAATCAGAACATGCTGCTTATGAGGGCTTTGCTTGCTGATTTAAAGGGTATGGAATTTGTCCTCAGTTATCTCTGTGTATATACGGAAACTTTTTTCATGCATCTTTGGTGCATTTTTAGTTGTAATGTCTGCTGATTTTAATAAAAGCTTACATCGGCTTAACTGTCTGCTACAGCTGATGTATTGAATATTTTATTGTTTATATAACAATTGACTGTATGTTACCTGTTTGCTTATAGCTACTGTCCTGTGCCAAGAAGGAGCACGCTAGGGGTACATACTTCAGGTCCATTTTACATTCATACCAGAACATACTCTAATCTACTTGTGAAGTTAATACAAAGCCACGTGGTAGAACCAAATTATGCCTGTATCTGTATTTAAACATAAAACAATATTTAAGATGTCCATTAGCCTCACACAGAGCACAGTTTAGTCTCTGTTCACATGTACAGGACTGGTACACGCGCTGCAGCCTGGCAGTGCCCTTTCATAGGGAGGCACAACTGATCTAGGTTCAGGTTGTTCTCGGTTTGGCGGATGAACTAAATATGCCACTAACAAATATGTATGAGTGATACTTTTTTTGCGTTGTGGGGTTTTTTCATTGGTGTACACTAATTACTGTATTTATTGTTTTTTTCATGGAATCAGAACATTATTTGGGGGGCTCAGTTTTTAAAGAGGTTACAGATGATGAAAAGGAGAGCTTAAACTTTCAGTATCCTGTCTCCAGTTATACTGCATTGGAAGTACACTCTCCTGCCTCTGCAGCCTCTGCTTCTAACTTTCCCAGTGGCATAGTCATCTGGTATAATCTTTAATGTTTATTTTTCTCTTTTTCTCCTTTTAAAAATGGGTAAACGTTTTCTTCCTGTGCCATACTTTCTTATTGCTGTTACACAGAACGTTAGGTAATGCCAATGAGCTCATAACAGTCAGTTGTCAGTCTTTCTAGATTGCATTATTTAGAATGGCTTCATGGATGCGCATTGATAATGAGTTTATATGTTACATGACAGAACAGTATCACTAAGCTTTGAAAACAGTTTAGCAGTGAATTATACTTGCAGTCGAAGTCACCATTATTGAAAGAAAATTAATAACTTTGGGTCTGTTTCCCATTACTGTACTGATTTGTATTCTTTAGTTAAGTGTATGTGAATAAAAATAGGCACAGTGCCACAAAATGGTCGTTGCTTCCTCCGAAAGCTGATGAAATCTCTGTCATACTCCTGTGTTCTAGAGAGCTGAGATCTTAACTAAATCCCACCCACATCACCCAAAGAAATTGTATTATATCAGTATACAGTAGCTGCCGGCTGTGTCCTAAAAGATTATTTTGAGGTCTCATTTCATTTTGCAAACTGACAGTAAGTTTGTTTTTTCAATTATGAAGACTGCAGTAGCATTAAAAGGAGGAGAAAAAATCACTATGCAAGCAACCTGTTGCCTGTGTTTAAATTTTGTCTGCATATTGCCTGCATTGCTTGCATTCAAGCTTCTAAAAGTTATATATACTTTGTACAGGTGAACATGTATTTGGCAGTCACATTTGGAGCATTCTATCTTAAAAGATGTTAAAACATGATTCCCGTATCTTCGTACAGCAGAAAGGAATCTCAGATGGCATGCACGTCCAGTTAAATTTTATAAACAGTAGTACACTTAGTTTTCTTTTTAAGTATAAACTTGATACTTGCAAGCTAAGAAAACTGTAGGTGATACTAAATTGCAACCATAATTTTTTGAGAGTACAGTTTAGCATAGGAAAGATAATAGTGCTGTTGCCTCAGAGATATCCGTACTGCTTTTCAGCTCCATTTCTTAAATTCCAGGAGTTTGTAGCCTGGCTTCTTCAGGTAAGTGGCAATCATTAATTTTCTGTAAAACGCTGTATATTTAATTGGAACAGATAATTTTCAGTTAGTTGGAACTGATAAGTTTAGTTTAATCATGGCAGAAAACGTTAAAACAGTAATCTCTTCTTCCTAGTAAAACTATCCGTGTTGGTCAGGGAGCTGTTGATTACTGTTTTCTGAAGACTCTGTATTAACCTGGCAGTCAAATGACATGCTCTCTGACTGGTCATTAAGCCTATTTACCACATATTAATTTGTTTTTAATGTCAGCATACTCAGGTTGATATATTTCTGTATTTTATCTCACAGGCTGTTTAATGTTTGTATTAATTAGTTTGTGGACCAGTGCTAGACTGTTATTAACAAAGGCTGTTTCTGTTTCAGGCTTTCACGGAGACTTATGTGATAGGTATGTCTTTTGACATTGGTTTTGTTGAAAATTCGTTTACTTTAAATTACTTATGGTAGGACAGGGTGGAACTTATCACTTAACGTAAAATTCAGGCATTCGTTTTCAACCTGCCGGAAATTAGTTAATTTCAGGCATTTACTCTGACTGTTGTAGTGCCTGTGAGATTTACTGCAGAAGTATTCAAAATTGCTTTCTAGTTCCAAGCAACACAGCTGTTAATGTAGATGCTGCTGTTGTCCACATGAATTTGTTATTTCTCCTATTTGCAAAATACTGGTTTTGAACAAGTGAATATAACTGCTGCTAGTAGTTGTCTACTCAGGCCAGCTATCACCAGAAAGTTTTTGAAGTGTTCCCTATGAGCAGTGTAGAGCTACAGACTGAAGATTTCAAAACTGGAATGCATTAAATAAAATGGTCTGACATAGGTATTTTTTACTGTTAACTGCTGTTGGTCTTCTGGATCCAGTTGTGCAGTAGAAAACAGTAGCTGGATTCCCTTTCTTCCTGGTCATTCTGCTGAGTTATCCACGTTTACTGTTTTGCTTGAAGCATAGCAGTAAACGGAATGGTTTATTTTATTTTTAAAATATTTTAAGTGCAACTTCTTGCTGGGACTGAAGTAGATTAGGGACTGATTACATAACCTTGAGGATGGATGCGAGGCAATAAACTATAGCAGATGGTGATTTTTACCCAAAGGAGTAACTTGAAGCAACCGTAGCTTGTAATCGTAAACTACATGAGATTTGGGTTTTTTATTGAGAGCAACTGATTAAAAGAGAGGGGAGAAATGAGCAGAATTAGGTAAATCTGTCACTCATGCTGATTCTTGCTTAGAAGTCTCAACTCTTGCTGAGAGCTGGGGTTCCTGAAACTCGTAGCATCCCACAGCCTTATCTCAGCATGGGCAGCAATACAAACCCTGTGGGTGCTCCTGGCCGACTGGGCTGCCAGGCTCAGCCTCCTCTGGGCCAGCCAGGTGAATGGACCCCAGTGGGGTGCAAGCAGTTCAGTCTGGATGGGGCCATATTTCTGGATGGTTTATTCAAAGTCTTCCTTGCTGCAGTCCACCTGGTCTTAGTCAGGTCTTGCTTATTCTGTCCCATTCACACTGGCATGCTGCAAAGTTGGTTAAAGTGTACATGATGACAGCGAAGCTAAGGTGATGGCTGGTGACTTTTTAAAAAAGACAGTGGATTTACACATGTTATCCAGGTGTTGCATCTGTGCACGAAGCCATTGAGATGTCCGGGAAAGAAAATTCAGTCCAAAGGCTCCTGCTAAAACAACCTGGATATTCTCATTTTAAGCATAGAAGGAGGGATTTTAGCTTGCTGTTCTTACAGGCATGTTCTACTTTAAATTATTAACATTTTTTTCTCCCTGCCTAACTTTAAGCTCTTTAGAAAATCCTCTGCAAATTACTGGTCTCAGTGGTGTTACAGACATCATTAGTGATCTTGTAGTAGAAGATGACGTCTCTCCGTTGGAGCTGGGCTTTACAAAACTCCAAGTGAAGAAAATCTCTAGGTAATACTGTGGCTGTTTTTTATTATGTATTAATTAAATAATTTTAACCCTGGTTATTCTTCTCATGGCTTACACCCTGTGAACAATGGAAGCAAACACGTGATTTGAGTCGATGTTAATGGGACTAGTAGAACTGTTTAATAGCCACTATTTTACTGGCCATTATTGTCAAATATGCCAATTGGGTTTTATTATTTTGGTTTTAAAGTTCTTTCCTTTGTACTTGATTATTCCTTCTTCTACCAGGTGTAGGCTGGAGCACGACTCTCTATATACAGCAGATTCAGTTCAGCCAAAGGGACTGGAGCCTTCTAAAGCAGCTCTGAAAGGCAGAATAGGAATCTCTTGTCAGTGCAAAGCAGCTTCAGAAGACTCCAGCTTGTCATGTACTCCTCCCTGCTGGAGATTTCTGCACCTTCCTGGCTGTCAGTTATAAAGTCATCTGTGTTCTTTCCTGAAATGGGTTGAAATTACAACTGTTTCCTACTCCCCGTTTGTGATACTGGCTGCTTACAAGGCAAAAATACAGCTGTTCAGGATGCAAAGCTATCAGTTCACACCAGTTTAAGATACCTTTTTCAGGATGTTCTAGTGGCTCATTTAAGTAGTGTAGTGCTCTGGTTTGCTTGTTCTGACATTTATTCAAATTGTAAAAGGAGCTCCCCAGCTTCCAATCTAAACCTGTGCACAGATCATAACATCCTTGCAATCCTCTGAGAATCCCATACACATTAGTAATGACTACATTGACACACAAATGTGGCTATCTGGACTGTTTCATGCAATTATGTGATTATTTTCAAAATTACTGAGGGTTTCAGAAATGTATTCAAGTAGTATTTAATCAAACCAGACCAAGGACCTAAAACCAACTCAGTTTCACATACTGACTGTGAATACTTCAGATAATGACACTTCCCTTTGCCTTAAAGTCAATCACTTTCAAACATGTTAGAGTTCTTCTAATCACTTGAGGGCTTTAATGCTTCAGCCCATAAGCTTTCAGTTGAACTGCAGCTACTAGAGATACATTATTTTGCTACACTTTTATGTTCTGTTGATTCTTGAGCTATTAGTGCCTGCTAGGCTTGAAAATGAGAGAAGTTTCAAAATGAACTACAAAAAATGAGGCATTTAAAATTTGAAACACTTCTCTTGGAAAATCTCATATTTAGTTTGTAGGTCAGTGCTTTTAGCTTTACAGTGAAGAAAATATTTATTCCCCAGCTGCTTACTTTAAAGACTATTGCAAGGTGAATTTGTAAATATTTCTGAAGAACTCTGAGGATAAAGTCATGTTAGCATTTCTTATTGGCTGTGTTTTTCTGTTGCTAGTATTCTGAGTGCTTTTGAGGTTGTACAGATAGACTTGTGAAGGAGCTCATAGGTTGAGGGGAGGGAACAAAAAGGGTGCTGGAATCTTATTGGTCTTTTTTTCTTTTTAGATGCTTAAATCATACACATTTAAAAATGAAAGATAAAGCAAAATGACTTGTAGTTTTTTCTGTGCGGATTATCTATAAAGACAGTAACAGATGGTCACATTTAAAGGTTTGGTCCTATTATCTGAATGTAGTTGACAAATAGAAGAAAAATTTTAGGAAACGTCTTGGAAATTACTTGCGTGTCAGGATTTTATGAAGTAAAATTTTGCAGAAGGAAATTTCCCTGTTATTATGCTTATGCTTTCAGCTGAGTTGGAATTTTAAAGGGATTGCAGTATTATCATTATATCATGTATAGCTGCCATCATTTGCAATTTAAAGGATATGCTAGGTTATTTCCCATTTACGTCTGCTCTCAGGGCTCAGGATTATGCTGCTGGACATTCTCGAAAAACAGAAAAGGAGAAGAAAGACATACAAGCATGGATGAAAAGAAAGCAAAAGGAAAGAATGAAAGAATATGTGAAGAAACTGGATGAACAAAGACAGAAAGAGCGTAACCCATTCAATCTGAGAAAGAATGTGGTAAGAATAATGGGTATCTATCTTGAAGAGTAACTGTTATGAATTGTACAAGTGTTGATTGTTCAGGTTAGATAATAAAAAGGCTGTTGGTGATTTTTTTCTTATTTTAATGTTGGTTTTCTATATGTATAGTTTTACTTTATTGGAGCTGGCCATAGTTGTGTCAGAAGTGATCAGTAAGCAAATATGGCAGTGTTCTCACCAGGCAGAACTGGCTGCAGGTGTCAATTATGACCTGTCCCTAGATTCAGGAAGTGTGGTCCCCTGATGGTAAGGGATGTGTCTGTAACATTCACTGATAACGGCTGTGTTTTGTCAGGGATTGATAACTACAGGAGTTGTAAAGATATGTTTATATCTTGTTTCATCTTCCGCTGCACCTCCCAATGAGTTTAAAAAGCAGAGTTTGGATGCCAGCATCTGTGACAAACGCGGTAGGATACCGAGGGCAGCCGTCCTTGTCATTTGCACACAGGAGTGTATGCGGTTACAGAGGGTCAGCAGAGATGTTAGAATATGGCATGTTTCTCAAGTATCTAATGAATTTGTTTGTTGAAGGCCTGTTTCAATACAGGCTCAGCAAACTATCACTTCCCTCACAGAATTTTTAAAATTTTAATTAGTAAAAATACGATTATGGCCTAATACTTCGCTTCTGATGTGCACTGTGCTGGAAATAACTGAAGGGGAAAAAAAAAAGGTACAGTAGTAGTTTGGAAATAATTTCCCAATCAGTATTAAGTCTTAAAGTATGCATTTGTTACCTGGATACCTTCAAGACCCTAAAAAGACCCTGGTGAGTCAGGGGCGGCGCCAGGGTTAGAGGAGATGAGACCTAGCAAATATATCCCTATACACTTTACTCATCAATTGAATGCAGGGTAAATCACTTCATGTTGAAGCTCTACTGGTTTTAACTCCCAAGCAGCAAACATGTAACACAACAGAAATTTCTTGTTTCCTAAATAATTCAACTATATTCACTTTTAGAAAGTGAAAAAGAGATCTCGTCTATGAAATACAGTATTTCCTGTAGTTTCAGTTGCTCTTTTCTACATGTGTAGAGAGAAGTGATTCAGGAACAATGGGTCCTGCTTCTCTCCCTGTCCTGTGTTGCCAACCCATAAATACACACTTGATGCTTTTTTTACAGGTTTTTCTCTTGAAATTATTAGATGGAGGGTTTCTCAGTTTTTCATGGTTTTTTTTTTTTTTTTTCACAAGAAAGCATTCAGATTGTACTCTAGCAAACACAACTTTGCCCTGTTTTTTAAATAGTTATTGTTAGGAATGCCACCGATTTTTTTGGGAAACTGAAGGTGAGGCCACTTGAAACTTTGAGCTTAGCAGTGAAGACATCTCCTTAAGGAATGTTAATATTTTAAGCATATGAGCTGTGGAAGGTGTGACTGCAAGCTTTTAGTATATTTTTAGAGACTGGAAGTTTATAGAGAGAATTTTACCTGAATTTCTTATTTTTTCATTCCAGAGAGTGTCTTAAACGGTAACTTTCAAGTCAACTAGGTCTGTGTTTTGAGAGTAAGAGATTGGAATGAGACCAGAATAATACAGAATAAGTTAATGATTATTATGCTTTCTTGCACAGCATTGTAGTCTTACTTCAAAGGATACTAAATTATTCCAGAAAAAGAAAGAAGAAAAAGACAAGTAAGTTGCTGTAAATGTAACTTGTGGTATTCTTATTTATGTATTAATCTTCCAGTCTTAAGGAAGAAGTAGCTTTAACTATCTTGTCTGTGAAACTCTGATATGAATGGCATTTCAACCAAAAGCATAAATAATTCATGTTTGCTTTACCATTTAGTAAAAGTCTGAACATGTTTCATCCTTTGACTGTATTTTTCACTTTCCAAATACCATTTTTTCTTTTTTTTTTTTCAACATTGACTCATTCATTCTGTCAAACCCATTTTTAATAAATGTTTTAGCTTTTTGTTAATGATCTTAAAAAGATTAGTGTATCTTCTCAAAAATTGCAAAAATATGTTACTGTGTTCTGGTTAGCCTTAAAAGGCTCACAAACCAGCTGCAATTAAATGAGTAATAGCACAACTTAATATGTAATATTATGTCTCTGTAGAGCCCTGTTATCTGAACATCACAGTATGAGAATATCACAAGCACTTTCTCTGATGAATGAAATGTTATCAGAAACAGTGGTGTTGCCTTCAAATGAACATAGACCATTGTCCAGGACAAGACCACCTCAAGAATTCAGAAAAAGGTGTATGGCATCTACTAAAGGGTAACAACTTTAAGCATTGACCCTGCTCTGATTGTACTCGTGTCTTCACCATGCTTGTAATAGGTCTGCAATTTGTAGCTAGTCGGTATAGGACGAGCTTGAGAGTAGCTTTATATTCTGGCAGACTCAAAGATACACTTTGTCTGGATCTGAGTCTTAAGTTCCTGTGCCAGTCGTCTTACAACCACTACTGCAAATCTTGGAGGGAGCCTTAAAAATGCCTTTTGGAGCACAGAATAAGCTAACTGTAGAGTCAGAGTCCTAACCTGTTCCAATCAACAGCAATTCCACGGGACAATAGCCAGCAACCTAGTTAATGATTGGAAGAGCATCTAGTAACAAGCAAGAAGCAAATGAAAATACTACTGTGCATGCATATAGACTACTTACATTAGAGTTCAGCAAATTCTAGATTTACTCTCTTCCTATTTTTTTTCGTTACCTAGGATTTTACTTGTTCTTTCTTTTGCACTTCCGTGCTGATTGCCTCTTAAGGAGATGATGGTATTTGAGTGTCATAAATGGGTAGATTTGTTCTACTTGATGGCATTAATGTCACATGTGTATTTGTAATCGAGGTGTGTATTGCAGTATACTTTTTCTACATACCATTTTATATTTTCCACAATAATAGGAGGAACTGTGTACTTCAGATAATCCTGTAACTTCAAGACTTAAATATTTCTGCATCTAATTTCAGTAGGTAGGGTTCCAGAATAGAGCGTTAAACTGAATGTAGTAAGTGCTGTACAGAGCCTCTGGTGGTGTCCAAGGGCAGTTAAGTACATCAGCCCTGCCAGAATCAGAAGCGCTGAGGAACGTCATGCAGAAAGCCACGTTAGGAGTGGCAGTAACTTCTAAGTGATAAGGTTTCTTGGACCTAAAATGTCTCTGTGTAAAGCCGGTTTGATATGTCTTCACTGTGATTTCCAGCAGTTCTGATTCTGGTGAGGCTTATTGGCCCCACAAGCAGCGTGTGATGCTGATCCTCAGCTAAGTTTGCTGAAGGTGACTTCTGTGGCCTTTTTGCCTTGTCTGAATAAGCCCTGTTAGATCTAAGTTGTGTGGAGGAATGGTGTGTGGTAGACAGTGGTAAGTATTTGAGCTTTGTTTTGTTTTTTTCTTACTGTAGAGGGCATCCGAACGTTCCTGTTCTGTCAGAAAGGAGCAGAATGGCTGCAAAACCCAGCTTTGGTCAAAAAGTACACCGTTTCAGCCCAGCTCTTGGTTTAACACAACCCAAGGGTAAGAACAGAACTTTCTTAATGAAGGCACGTACTGAAGATGATGTTCAAGTTACTACTGGATTTTGGGAGGGAGGAGCTTTATTACCTATGTAGAAAGTCAGGCTTGCAATCCCGGAGGCTTTTGCATCTGTGCTGTCATTTTCTTGTTAAATGTGAGAGTTACATTTCCTTATAATCTCTTTCTAAATCCAGAGTAGCTTAATTTGCCATAGCAAGAGTACTGTGCAATACAGGAAACAAGCTCATAGATGAAAATTTTGAAGCATCTTTTGAGTGGTTTTGGTTTACTGCACCTAACAGAGGAAATGTTTTCTTTGTGTTTCCAGGAAATGCCTGTATGCCTCTACAAAAAAGTACTTCCAGAGGGAGAATCAGAAATGCTGCAAACTATCCTATTAATTCTAGACACTGTAAGTTACAAAGAGCAATGACATAGTGCTACAGTGTTCAGCTACGTAATACAGCAGAAAAATAAGACACAGAGAACAAATTTCAGAATACATCCTGGGTAGAATTTATGCCATGCAGGCCTCAGATGCAGCATTATTTTAGAAGAATAAAAAGAATAATTTTCCCCCCTCACATAAAAATCCTTTTCATTAGAAACTTGTGAAATACTTTAATCAGTCACCTCTGTTTACCTCCTGAATGGTTTTTAGCCAGGTGGCATTTTCAAGATTACTGAAGCGAATGTGCTAGATTTCAGTGATGCCCTGAAACAGGCATTACGAAGTCATGAAGGACAGAGGACTTGAGTCTGTCTTTTGGCTGAAACCCACAGAGAGAGAGTGAGCTAGCAGTACACAAGTACTGTGCCTCTCCCTTACCTCTCTATGCTGCTTAGTTTCTGAGCTCTTTAAAGTAGGCATTGTCTTTGTTATCCCTCTGTACAGTATCCATTTAAGATACTATTTTGTCATAAAGTTAGAGTGGAAAAATTTGACGGAACGTTTTAAAAAAACAATATTTTGTACTTTAATGACCCTTTTTTCCCTATGCCTATCTGTGTAGGTCTAGATCCACAAAAGTTTTGTCACGTAAATGTTTCCTCCAAATCAAATTCTTTAACAGATGCAGGACTTGATTACAAGAGCAGAATTTCTGATCAGACAGAAAAAGGTGAGGAGAGAATCAGTCTGAAACTTAGGAAGTATGTGTGTTGATTCCATTCTCACTTGCACCGGAATTATACTAGTGGCATAATAGAGATCCTGTTAGTCAAATGTCAATTTATTTGAGTCGGCAGTGCTGGAAAATGAGAGGAGCAATAGTAAGCAGATAGACATTTTCCATGAATCACTCAGTCACCTCTACATGTGTGGAAAGTCATTCTTCTCCTTTCCATACCTTCTCTTTTTAAACTCTAGATATAAGTTGGCCTTTCTCTGATTTCACATCACCTTTTTCTATCTGTTTCTCCATTCTGCTGTATCCCATCACTGCTAAGGTTTTCTCTAAAGTTCTATGTCTTCTAAGAGGCACAAATCCAGGATTTATATAGTTTTATTCCCCTGTCAAATAATGTAGCAACGTCCCTTTTTGGGGACTGCACTACAGGAACTGCATGCTGTAGGCACCATGCATAGTCCTATTCCACTTCGTGTTCTGCTCTGGGAAGACAGTTGAAAGCGTGAGGCTGGAAGGGACCAGTAGCATTTTCTTTCCTATTTTCTCTCAACATCAGTTCAAGATAACAGGGTGTACTGTTTTTACATGTGTTCACACACAGCTTCAGTTCTTAGAACTTGGAGCTTCTGTTCTTGAAGAGGTTTCAAGACATTCAGAAGACAACAGCAAGAGTGTTACAGTGCTGTGGTTGGCTTGTTTTCTCCTCAGCTGCTGAGTACAGTGTCAGCAGAACATCAAACCAAAAGCCTCCACGTGTTGCCACTGCAGTTCAGACAGAAGGTGTTTATCAAGAGACTGATCGCGACATAGTAAGTCCTTGGACTGTCCCTGACGAGATCCAAAGAATACTTGAAGATACTCGTGACCCCTTGTTTCAGGTAGGATGTCTGCTTATTCTAGGAGTGATTTGATACCTGCCATTTGACACTTTGTTTACTTCTGCTTTATTTAAAATGCGGTTCTCTGTTCAAAATGTGTGGGTGGGATATATGCAGAAGAACATGAATGATGGACATTCAATAGAGCTGCATTTTTTCTTTACAAGCAAAGTCATTCTGTGGGCCTTGAACATTCCTTATAACAACTGTATAGGCACGGTGTCTGTCCTGGCAACAGCAGCCAGTGGGAGTGCATAAGCAGGAAAATAGGTTGCTTTTATTGCAGAATAATCGGGTATGTAGCTTGATTAAGATTTGTTTGAAAAGGGTGGGATCATTTCTACTGGCTGCACAGAGGTCTTGTCCATGCATGGCATGCAGTGATTCAGCTCACCTTCTTTTCCTTCAGTAGCTCTCTGCACTGCATCCTGTGAGTTCCTCTCCTGTCAGCATTGCCAACCCTGATGGTGTTTCTGAAAGCACGGGAAGTATCCTCAGCAGACTGGACTGGAATACGATTGAGGCTATGGTAGCAGATGTGGAAGACACGTGAACACAATTTCTCAGCTACGGTGCACTTCCAAATGGTTGCTGGTGTTTGGTTTGATTTTTTTATTTTTTTATTTTTTTTAAATAACCATTGTTCTCTTAAGATGGATTGAGGCTTGCACTGGTTTCTTCTTAAGCAGCACAGAAACTCTCACTGCTTTCAGTCTTGCCTAAAGGAAATTACATTCCTTAACATGTAGTTTGCTTTCCATCCGTCTTCGAATCAACAAGAACTAAATTTGGTTGGTAAATGCAGACCAGCCGTCCTAAGCAGGAGCTTCTGGGTCAGATCCTTTGACCCTCTCAAATACATAGAAAGTTTTATTCCATTTGCAGAGCACTCCACAACTGTTTTACATTTGTATTTAATATTTAACATCATTATGGATGCAGTTATTTTTGTAACTTAACAATTGTGATAAAATGTTTTAATAAAAGTGAGTTTATTAGCTTATGCTATAAAGTGACTTACACAGAGCACTGCTACTGCTGTGTACCACTGTGACTGCATGTGCACGCGCGCTACCCTGATATTTTAAACCCAGCTTACTTGTACATTAGGTTGGAGAGATCTTAAAAGAGTTCGAATGATTGATACAAGAGGTACAAGTAGTCATGCAGCAATAAATGAAATGCAGACTTTTGTTAGGAAAATCAGACACCAGTGTCAGACACTAAGACAAGTTCTTACTGAGGTAAAGAAAAATAGCGCTGTTCATCCATCTATATAATGTTGTGGTATTAGAGCTCTTCTAGCAGCCCTCTAGATGTTTCCCGTATCTTCAGTGGCCATCACCTAGTTGTGGTAGACTGAACAGATGCAGCTGTGGTGACTTCCCCAGCAGCAGCTGTTTTTATATTTGTAGTGAAGAAACTGGAATTTTTAATAGAAGTCAAAAGTGCGTTAAGTTCCATTGGTTTAATTACTGTCACCTGATACTGTAATAGTTTAAAAAAAAAAAAAAACAAAAAACCCTGCCTGTTTCAGAGTGAAGAAATACGGTTCAAAGAAAGACTGCTACAGGATTACACACGTACCAGGGTATAACTGACAGTTTCTGTAGGCTCAGGAATCAAAACAGGCTCTGTGTTTTTATCAGTCCTCAGAATCTGCATCAGCTTGTCCCACAGGAGTGGCCAGAGTACAGAACTCGGGAGTGATTTTCCAAATGAAGAGGGCAAGTACCTTCAAAGGGCCAGTCCAAAGCATGAAACCATGAGTTTACTCAAAGTGTCTTTCTTCGGAGTGGCAACAAAGAAATAATCAGTGCGTACCTTCTGTTCCTGTTGGAAAACAATCTGAAAAAAGCTGGTTTAGCCCTCTGTGAGAAGGAAGAGAAAGCAGTCAGGGTCAAGACAGTGATTCATAATCCTTGTCCTAAAGGCTTGTGAAAACTGTATCAGACTCAGGCCTTGTTTCTTTCAGATGATAGTTACAGTATCACAGTCAGTAAATGTTAATGAATACGGTGCAAGACACAAACATATTAAAAATAATACTTAAAAAACCCACTTTCCAGACAAGATAGGAGATAACAGGCAGGATAGTTTGCTAGCAGTTGCGTTATGCAGGTTACTGAGGCAGTGCCCTAAGGGGGCTTCACTTGTTTGTAAAGAGTTCAGACCTTGACAGTGGATCTCTGAAGATCAAAATGTTCAGATAAGTTTGTGGGGGGTGGAAATGCAGAAATAAGGCAGCGCGGTCTCCCCTCTTTGCGTTTGAAACCATTACCCCTCATCCTATCACTGCACTCCCTGATCAAAGTCCCTCCTCCCCTTTCCTGTAGCCCCCTTTGAGTACTGGAAGGCCGCTAGAAGGTCTCCCCAGAGCCTTCTCTTCTCCAGGCTGAACAACTTTTAAAGGTCATCTTGTCCAGCCCCCCTGCAATGAGCAGGGACATCTTCAACTCAATCAGGTTGCTCAGAGCCCCATCCAGCCCAGGATGCAATTGACCTTCTGGGCTGTGAGCACACACTGCCAGCTCATGTCCAGGTTTTCATCGACCAGTGCCCCCAGGTCCTTCTCCACAGCACTGCTCTCAATCCCTTCCTCCCCCAGCCTGTGTTGATACCAGGGATTGCCCCGACCCAGGTGCAGCACCTTGCACTTGGCCTTGTCGAACCTCATGAGGTTCACATGGACCCACTTCTCAAGCTTGTCCAGGTCCCTCTGGATGGCATCCCGTCCCTCAGGCGTGTCAACTGCACCATTCAGCTTGGTGTCATCTGCAAACTTGCTGAGGGTGCACTCGATCCCACTGACTATGTAACTGATGAAGATATGAAACAGCACTGGTCCCGGCACAGACCCCTAAGGGACGCCACTTGTCAGCGATCTGCATCTGGACATTGAGCCATTGACCTCTACCCTCAGGATGCCACCATCCAGCTAATTCCTCACCCACCGAACAGTCCACCCAGCAAATCCGTCTCTCTCCAGTTTAGAGAGAAGGATGTTGTGGGGGACCATGTCAAAGGCCTTACAGAAGTCCAGAGAGATGACACCGGGTATAGCTCTTCCTTTGTCCACTGATGCAGTCACTCCATCATAGAAGACCACTAGGTTGATCAGGCAGGACTTACCCTTGGTGAAGCCATGCTGGCTGTCCTGAATCACCTCCCTGTCCTCCATGTGCCTTATATACATATAGGAAATATAAGTATTTCCTATTAAATTGCCTCTTGGAAAAAATACATTTTTTTTTTAGCATTCATACAGTTTAGATACTGTAACAAAAACACATAGATATTACAAAATACGTAGTCTCCAGCACTAGTTTTAAGATGAATATTTCATATGTAATGCTTTTTGTGCATGTTAAAGTGTTTCACAGGAAAATTAATATTACCTTGTTCTGTAGATAGGCTTATGCAGTAGGTGACATTTTTTATAAGATATGTGTTTGTTTTCAAGCTTTTTGACTGATAGCAACTTAGCTGAATCTCAGAGAGCATGATTCTTCAGTGCTGAAGCTTAGAGGTGTTTGGAAACAACCTCTGTAAATTCTTTCCTAGTTGAGCACACTTGCTGCGCTTTCTCTGTATGGATGCTTTATCCCTGAAACAGTTATATGAATATATATACCTTTACAAAGGGATAAATTGTTTTTATTTCTTTGATGTTTCCAATACCTGTTTCATATTCTTTTTATCTTACTTTTTTGCCTTTTATCTATCCCTTGTTCACCTGAGAAGTTACTTGGGTATTTTATTTATAGTCTTGTATTTAATATTGGTGAGACAGCTAACAGTGACTTTTATAGGTTAAACCTTGTGTCATTCTGCTATGTGTGATTTCAGCCCTTCTTTTTTCTTCCGTGACAGAGGATCTTCACACAAGATCGTAGAATGAAAATTAATCAAGTCTGTCAGTCTGTTTTAAAACCAGTCTTATTCTGCTCTTAATCTTTTTTAGACTTTAGAGCCACAGTCCAATATGTCAGTTTCTATGCAGTTTATAAGTGTTTAAAAAATTGTTATTGTTCTGCAGTGTATTTTATATGTGGTCATGCAGATTTTCAGATGATAGTTACTACTGTCTGTTTTATAACTGCCTTTCTACTTCTGACAGGTTTCAGGAGGAGAAGATGAAATTCAACAGCTGCAAAAGGCTTTGCTAGATTATCTGGATGAGAACACAGAAACTGATGCATCATTAGTGGTAAATTTCAGCTTTCTGGTGTGAAATGTATATAAAAATCATTTCAGTAACGTTTATTAATACAATAATTTTCGGTTATGCAGATTAGTGCTTCAATTAAATTGTCACTGTAACATTAACTGTTGATTGTTTTTCCAAAATATTGTTGATGCATTAGATTCACTTAATTTCATATAAACATGTTAATTTTCCTTTTCTCTATATATTGTTTTTGTTTTCTGTGCATCCTGCTACATTTCTCCAGTTTTCTCGGAAGTTTTATATAGCTCAGTGGTTCCGTGATACAACTATGGAGACAGAGAAAGCAATTAAATCTCAGAAGGATGAGGATTCATCTGAAGGAACTCATCATGCGAAAGATGTTGAGACCACCGGACAAATCATGCATAGAGCAGAAAGTCGCAAAAAGTTTCTTCGCAGTATCATTAAAACTGCTCCATCTCAGTTCAGTACATTAAAGTATGTTTCAGTACCACTTATTTCTTTATTAGCCATGCATTTGATGTTTTAAATCGTTTTTGATAAACATGTCTTAATTAACGCATGGAATTTGTTGCAGGATGAACTCTGATACCGTGGACTACGAAGATGCATGTTTGATTGTTCGCTACTTGGCCTCTATGAGGCCGTTTGCCCAGAGCTTCGATATTTATTTGACACAGGTAAACTGTGCTGGAAGTCTTAGTACAGTGAAACGCAGTCATTTTCTGATTCCAAACACTTTTGCGGTAGTGTGCCGTATCTGTTCATTCATTATTGAACACAGGTATTTAACAGGTCATGATAACACCATGTGCTTTCCTATTCTGTATTGATAACATAATTGATCATGTTTCTTTTTCTTACATGCTCTTCGTATGTCATGTTGTACATACATTATTATATTTGTCCATGTGTGTGCATGGCAGATCATTATAATTAGATGTACACAGTAAGAGGATAATTACAAAATGTGGAAAGAATTCTCACAGTTTCTGTAAGATGCATGCTTATTTGGTAATATTAACTCATGAAATTGAGCCTAATTTTGTTTGAAGCCAGCTTGCTCAGTTGTGGGCAGTGCATGCTACTGTCACTTGGGAAGTGTTGCTTTTCTTTGCTTTTTCTGGGAAAAGAGGACTAACATGTTGGTGTGGTAACATGTTTGAACTCCAGTACCAGTTTAGGTTGTGTTACTTATATTGGTCTACATACAGAGCCATTCTTAAAATTAGAGTGCCCAAATTCAACTCTCCTGTTAAAAGAACCGTGGTGAAAGCCACAAATGAATGACAGAGTTTAAAATGAAGGGACTTGAAGTGAACATATGGACCCTGTGTAAATCCTGTTTGGACCAGACTTAGAGATGTAGCAAATCCTAGTAAATATCCATGCTTAGTTGTCAGTGCCATGGAACATCACTTGCATGCACGTCCTTACTGTCTGAGAAGATGTATTTAATTTCTAGTAGATGGATATTCTTATTTTAGTTAACTTGTTTTTGTGTTACTCTGCTATGTTTTTGCCTGTTAAACATTGTTTGCTACCTTCCCAAAGCAATTGAATCTTTGTTTTTGTTTTCTTATCAGATTCTGCGTGTACTTGGTGAAAATGCAATTGCTGTTCGAACAAAAGCCATGAAGTGTTTGTCTGAGGTTGTGGCTGTAGATCCCAGTATTCTAGCCAGGGTAAAAAAGGAAATATCCACCATCTACATACATTCTTCTATCATGCTTAAAATAAATCTTCATTTCTTATATTGAATCTGTGTTTCATTTCTTCTTTTTAGCTGGATATGCAACGAGGTGTTCATGGACGCTTAATGGATAACTCCACTAGTGTACGAGAAGCAGCTGTGGAGCTGCTTGGCCGATTTGTGCTCTGTCGTCCTCAGCTTGCTGAGCAGTATTATGACATGCTGATTGAAAGAATATTGGTATGGTAATTTGTGATCTTTATGATAAAATAGGCAGCATCGGAAAAATTGTTTTTAACTGAGTTTATATGTTTCATAATATAGAATGATGATCCCAAGAGTAAATTACACCATATTGTTTTGATGGGGACCATCATGCTTTTGTAAAATGCATCACTTGTTTCCAGTGAGACTTTGTTACATCAAAAGGAAAATGTATGTAGAAGGTTGTACTGCATCAGAAGCAGGATTATATTCCTTTTGATACTGTTATTAAGGCACATAGGTAAAAAGAAATTTTGACACATCTCTGAAGTCTGAGGTATGGGTCATTAAGGGCAGTTCAGTACTGAGGGTGATGAAGAAATATCTACAACACAGTAATCTAAAGATGTCATTTCTAATCCAAAAGAAAAAAAAGATAAAACTACTTTGCTTTTCTACGCTATTTTTAGCATTTTAAAAGACTTCTTATTAGAATTTTTGTAAAAAAGTTTTTTCCTCTGGGAGTTTGGGTAAAATACAATGCTAATTTAACTAGAAGATGACACTACCTCGTAGCATCCATGTTAGGTTTTCAGTCAAACACTACTTACTTGCTATAGTTACATGATAAAACATGTTTGTGAGGGATTTTAGAGACAAGTGGCTTCGTGTGTGTATGAACATGCATAAAGCAGTTCATCCTGATGTTCAGATTCAACAGGTTTTGAATAAGGTAGTACAAAGTGAAGCTCTTCATCCCTCTCCTTAGACAAAGCCTAGGAAAATGGAAAAGATAGCTGCATATATTTTATCCATTAGCTTTATCCAAAGGCTTGAAGTATTACAGTCCAGATCTACAAAGAATCTTTTGTGTTCCAACAAAGTAGCTAAAGCATCATCACATGTAGCTTGTAAGCTATTGAATTAAGAAGTGGAATTCCACATTTGCAACATCATGAGCTCTTAGATGAGAGGGTATAAAATGGAGGAAGCGTTACCGCATTCTGGAGACTCAGCCAGAACCTTTAGACTTGTTGCAAATGAAGTGGTACAGGTTGCGCTGACTTTTTGTATAAATATTTTAGCTGCCTTTTCTAAATAATTTTGCAAATCAGATTGGGTGATCTTCAAATATTAATTCATATAATACATAAATTAATTCATATTTCTGATTTGTTTTCAAGAGTGTAATGCATTTCTTTTGACAGGATACTGGTATCAGCGTCAGAAAAAGAGTCATAAAGATACTTAGAGATATCTGTATTGAACAACCAACGTTTCCCAAAATTACAGAGATGTGTGTGAAAATGATTCGGAGAGTCAATGATGAAGAAGGCATTAAGGTAGAATGAAACATACCCTTTCAAGATTTTAATTATCATTATTTTAATGTTTCTATGTTTTGACCAAAAAAAAAAAGTATTGCTCCTTTGTAATATTTATGACTTTTATTCACTTAATTTTTGAGAGCAGGTTTCTTAGCTTTCTGAAACGCTCTCTGACTTATTTTTCTTTCTTTTATATCTTCCATTTTTTTGAAGTTTTTGCTGAGAATCAAAAGATTTTAAGAAGTTATTTTCTAGAGGGTTTTTTTACTTCTTGCAGGTGTTGTCTCTGGTAGTTCTCTATTCTAACAAGTAAAATTGGCATATAAAACTTATTTGTGCAAACAAAATAAACTTTAAATCAAAATTAAGTGCATGGTGTTCATATATACCAGATTTGTAAGTTCTGCATATAAAAATTATAAAGTATTCATCCATGCTAATTTTGCATTAATTCTGAATGTTCAGTGAATCAGTTAATCCCCCTAAAATGTTATGTAATGATCATACTCTACTCTTTCTGCAATGTCTATGCAGAAGGGAACAAAACCTAAGATTTTGTGTTAAATTCTAAACCTGACAATACTGGCTTTGTTTGATTTGACAAAATAATTTTAAAATTATTGAGTAATTAAGTAATTTTGTATCACACTTTCAGTAGGATTTGAAATCTGCAACTTTAAAGATGCAGCATATATTTTTAACACTTGAGATATGTTAATGCCAAATGGCTTTGAGAAGACTATTGGTCAAGAACAAGATGAACAGCTCGATCCAAGGTGCTGCTGGGAAAGGAGGATGACCTTGTTCTCTCTCTTCCTTCCCCTTGCCTTTCTAACAGCTTAAGAAAAAATGGGGCATTATCTTCAATGTGGTTTTTTGTGTTTACATGAATGAGGAGAGCTTCTTAGAACCATATGCTTTATAAGCAATTTGGGAATAATTTTGTTCACTTTCATTCTATTCCATTTTTTCCTCCATCCAAGAACATTGAAAGGGAATGTACTTCCTATGTTTGGGTATAGAGACTTGGCTTCTCTCTTTTTCCCTCTTTGTCACAGCTGTTTTGAAAAATTAACCTACCTTTGCTGCTAGTTCTGCTGTAGAAATCATAATCGTGTGTTCAGTTGTCAGGTACTCAGGGTACCTGTGTTTTCCTGAGGAATGCAAATTAATGCATGGAGGTGGTAACTCCATTTTCTGTAGTTCCCGGTGATCATTTTAGTGAAGCATGCTTAGAAGTTAGTGTAACTCCTGTAGTAGTAGATCCGGGTCTGTGGCAGATAACATTTCCTACAACGGTCTCACTTAGATTGAATAACTCCTTGTGAAATGGCACACATCATCAACAAATCTATTGGATGGATGTATTAGAAATAATACCTGTTGCCAAGATAAGTTTATTTATTTATACTACTATTTTTTCCCTTCAGAAATTAGTAAATGAGACATTCCAGAAGCTCTGGTTTACTCCAACTCCACACCATGACAAAGAAGCAATGACAAGGAAAATACTAAACATCACTGATGTGGTATGTTAAACAAATTTTAGATAAGTTGTGTGCAAAATCTGATTATGTTTTCAGTATCTTTTAAATATTGTCTGTATTTTTTTAAAGTACAGTAGTTTAGTTGTCAGGTGGTTTTCTTTTTATATCTCCTGGCATTGAATTTATGACAGAATTACTCATCTGATGGAACAGGCTGTAGGAAGCTTTAAATGGTCACTAATCTGCTGGCAATGATAACTGGGACCACACTATATTGTGTAAGATACTTGCTCAGGTTTATTTATTTATTTATTTATTTATAATATTTAACATTTTCCAGGAATTGCTGATAGCAGCATACAGTTAAGCCTAACTAAGGAGCTGTCCTTTCAAAGATGACTTTCCTCAAATAATTGATAACATTTATTTTGAAAGATTGATAAGCCATTTTAACCAATACAGGGTCATATTCTCACAGTAAACTAGTATCTGAATAGTTGTATCTGCTTTTTAGGAGCAGCAAATTAAATAGCACGTCTCCAAAATGACAAAGTCTGTTTCAAATAAAAAGCTTTAATTTGTAGTAAAAATGTATTGTGCAAAACCGCTGTGCTAAGAAGGTGTTTTAACATCAGTTATACCAAAATGTAAATATCGAATAGAAGTACTCGCTTTATTACTTACAATTATGGGATTAAACTTGTAATGAGTTGAGGCTGGGCCTGCCAGTAACAAATGACAGACGCTCTCTATTAACCCCTCTCCCCTCCCAAAAGGGAAAAGGAGAGCCAACAAGGCAGAGACACTTTACGGTTTGCAAAAGAAAACTAAAACAGCT